TAAATAGTTCAACTATATTATTTTACTACAAAGAAAAGCCTCCTGTGGAAGATATAACATTGGTCTGTTTGTTTTTGTTCGTTTTATCACTTTGGGCTACTTACTGGTGTTGCTCTCCTATACATTTATGAGGAGGGTCCCACTCACCCAACTCGCCCAACCACCATGGCTATTAAGGCCTGATCAGAGGTGTAGCTACCAACAAACACAAATTCTATTTTACAATTGTATTGTCGAAGGCTTTCATGGCCGGAATCACTCAGTTCTTGTGGGTTTTTTCGGGCTATATGGCCATGTTCTAGGGGCATTTCTCCTGACGTTTCGCCTGCATCTATGGCAAGCATCCTCAGAGGTGAGGGTCACCTCTGAGGATGCTTGCCATAGATGCAGGCGAAACGTCAGGAGAAATGCCTCTAGAACATGGCCATATAGCCCGAAAAAACCCACAAGAACTGAGATTCCTACAATTATTAGAAAATATGGTTCGGTTTGAAGTGGAAGGCACTGTGTGGGTCCTAGTGGAAGAAAAAGGACTTTGGGAAGAGCATTTTGAGATTTCCTAAAAGTAAACTTGGGTGGAAGCAAAAGAAAAGCAAGTTCCAGTCCATAGGAAGTAGCTGAGGACATTTCCACAATTATCTCCAGTTCATTTCAACTATCATCTTTTTTTTACTCCACTTAGGCAGAAAAAAATGAAATGCAAAGATACAGAATGGGGGACGCCTGGCTCAAGAGCAGGACATGTGAAAAAGATCTTGTAGACTTCGTGGACAACATGAGCTAATAACGGCGCTCCATGCAGTCATGCTGGCCACATGACCTTGGAGGTGTCTATGGACAACGCCGGTTCTTCAGCTTAGAAATGGAGATGAGCACCAAAACCCAGAGTCGGACACCACTGGACTTAATGTCAGGGGAAACCTTTACATGAGCCAACAATGAGATGTGGCAGGTAAAAAAGTCAATGGGATTTTGGCTTGCATAAATAGAAGTATAGTGTCTAGATCCAGGGAAGTCATGCTACCCCTTTATTCTGCCTTGGTTACACCATACCTGGAATACCGTGTCCAATTCTGGACACCACAATTGAAGACAGATATTGACAAGCTGGAATGTGTCCAGAGGAGGGTGACTAAAATGATCAATGGTCTGGAGAACAAGCCCTATGAGAAGCAGCTTAAAGAGCTGGGCATGTTTAGCCTGCAGAAGAGAAGACTGAGATAAGACATGATAGCAATGTATAAATATGGGAGGGAAAGTCATAGGGAGGAGGGAGCAAGTTTGTTTCCTGCTGCCCTGGAGACTAGGATGCAATGGAGCAATGGCTTCAAACTACATGAAAGGGGATTCCACCTGAACATGAGGAAAAACTTTCGGACTGTGAGAGCTGTTCAGCAGTGGAACTCTCTGCCCCGGAGTGTGGTGGAGGCTCCTTCTTTGGAGGCTTTGAAACAGAGGCTGGATGGCCATCTGTCAGGGGTGATTTGAATGCAATATTCCTGCTTCTTGGGAGAATGGGGTTGGACTGGATGGCCCATGAGGTCTCTTCCACCTCTGTGATTCTATGTTTCTACCTGATCTTGTGGAATGGATGCCACTTCTTCTCCTGCATCATAAAGAGTGGAGCTGCCGTGTCTTCCCAGCACCCTTGTCTCGTCTCCTGTGAAATGGCAAACGTAGGAAAGGGAAACTGGATGTCTTTATTTGTTTTTCAAAGCTCATTTTGAGGTTGCAAAGCAGTTTACAATTTAAGCAACACAAAAGGGGAACAATAAGACGTCCTCAAAAGAAAGGTCACAAGGAACTGGAAAGGGTTTTATACGGCACAAGAACCGTGCAGCCCATTCCATACAAGCTTGGATGTAAATATTCTTAAAACTGTTCTTGGAATATTCTAACAAATCAGCTGTCCAAGACCAGTATTTTGGGGGACATAATAGAAGATCATACGTTTGGGAGATCTTTGACCAAGAGAAAGAAGGGATCTCGCCCAGGGGAGCAGCCCCTCTGTCCTCCTCTAACAAAACAGCCATGGAAACATGTATTTGGGGACATAAGAGAAGACCTCACATTTTTGGGATCCTTGAGAGCGAGGGATCAAGTGGATGAAGACATCTTACCTAGTAGAGACACTTCTGTGTCGTCCTCCGGTTTAATCCACCTGAAAGGGGACACCTGACTGGTGCATGGTGGGGCCTCCTGGGCCTGAAGGAGATGTCTATCCTCCTCCAACTTGATCCACCTGAAAGGGAAGCCCTGGCTGGTATCCAATGGGACCTTCTGGGCCTGAAAGTGCTCTCTCTCCTGGCACTCTTCTTGCAGCACCTTGTCCTCTTCTTCCCGGCTCAGGAGGAAGCCTTCAGCCAAGGCCACGGCCTGAGAGCTGGTCTCTGCCCCACATTCCCTCACCCAGCGCTCCATCTCCGCAGGAAGGACGGCCAGGAACTGCTCCAGGATCACCAGGTCCAGCATCTCCGCCTTGGAGTGTCGCTCGGGCTTCAGCCACAGGTGGCAGAGAGAGTGGAGGCGGCTGCAAACCTCTCGGGGCCCATCAGCCTCCTGGAAGCGGAAGTGCCGGAAGCGTTGGCATTTAAGGTCTGTGCTGAACTCCTTCTCTAGAGCATCCTGCTTTGTTCTCTCCCAGCATCCAACTCTTCTCCTGCCCCATGTTTTATAGGGCTCTCTTCCTCCTTCAGGGTCATATTGGTTTGGCTCTTCCATCTTGATTATCTATATAAATAAAAATGTAATGTTCCTTTGTGGGATTAACATAACTCAAAAACCACTGGACAAATTGACACCACATTTCGACACAATACACCTATCAGGCCAATGAGTGAGCATCATTCATAATAGCACTGAAAAACACAATGGAAGCGACTTAAAAAGCCACAAAAGCAAAAAGATACTTCAGTGCATGCGCAAAAAATGACTCCCCCAGCAAACAAAACACACAATAGCATATCCACACTCTCTTTCGGACTACAGCTCCCAGCATCCCCTAGACCAGTGGTTCTCAACCCTCCTCATGCCACGACCCCTTGATACAGTTCCTCATGGTGTGGTGACCCCCAACAATATTACTTTGTTGCTACTTCGTAACTGTCGTTTTGCTACACTTATGAATCATAATGTAAATATCTGATATGCAGGATTCACTGGACCAAATTTGGCACAAATACCAGATATACTCAAACTTGAATGATGATGGGTTTTGGGGGAAATAGACTGTGATATGTGTGAATTGTAGTTGCTGGGATTTATAAGTAAAGGTAAAGATTTTTCCCTGACATTAAGTCCAGTCATGTCCGACTCTAGGGGTTGGTGCTCATCTCAATTTCTAAACCGAAGAGCTGGCGTTGTCCATAGACACCTCCAAGGTCATGTGGTTAGCATGACTGCAAGGAGCACCGTTACCTTCCCACTGGAGCGGTATCTATTCATCTACTCAAATTTGCATGTTTTTGAACTGCTAGGTTGACAGAAGCTGGGGCTGACAGTGGAAGCTAACGCTGCTTCCCGGATTCGAACCTGTTCGTTTGTGGGATTAACATAACTCAAAAACCACTGGGCGAATTGACACCAAATTTGGACACAATACACCTATCAGGCCAACGAGTGACCATCACTCATAAAAACACTGAAAAACACAGCAGAAGAGACTTAAAAAGCAAAAAAAATTACATTACAATGCACGTGAAAAACAACTTATTTACACACATACACAAATATATACACACATCTATACATATATACAAACACACAAAATACATATATACAGACTGGGCCACAGAAAGGCGTGGCAGGGGACAGTTAGTACATATATAAAAGAATAAGAAAGTATTCTTTGGATGTGGAATTGGACTGGCTATATGGTTTTAGAATAATGCTTTTAATTGTGCTTTCAATTTACATCAGTAATAAAAGCAATAACAACAGTAATACAAAACAATAAAATAATACTCATAACAGAAGATAAGCAATAAACATTAACAATATACACACTCTCTTTCGGACTACAGCTCCCAGCATCCCCTAGACCAGGCAGCAGACCATACAATAAACATAATATAAAGTACAATTGCATATAACATCTAAGCATGTAAACAACAACCTAAAACTCAGATTATAACTCAGATTAAAACAGTGATCATCCATAAAGGGTGGTTAATGTAAACATAGGTTAGGCTGGGTTGTTGTAGGTTTTTCTGGGCTATATGGCCATGTTCTAGAGGCATTTTCTCCTGGGGTTTCGCCTGCATCTATGGCAAGCATCCTCAGAGGTAGTGAGGTCTGTTGGAAATAGGAAAATGGGTTTATATATCTGTGGAATGACCAGGGTGGGACAAAGGACTTTTGTCTGCTGGAGCTAGGTGTGAATGTTTCAACTGACCACCTTGATTAGCATTTAATGGCTTGGAAGTGCCTGGGGGAATCTTTTGTTGAGAGTGATTTGATGTGCCTGATTGTTTACTCTCTGATTGTTTAATCAAGGTGGTCAGTTGAAACATTCCGGCCATGAAAGCCTTCAACAATACATTGGTCAGGCTGTAAACAATAGGGCAAGCGAATGGGAATAAGTGCAAAGCTCATATCCCTATGGGAAGCCCTGGCCCTTGAGTGCTCTGACTGGAGGTCAGCTGTGACCAGCAGTGCTGCAGAACTCGAAAAGGCACGAGCCTCTGAGATGCAGGTGTAACGTCAGGAGAGAATGCTTCTAGGGCATGGCCAGATAGCCTGAAAAACCTGCAACAACCCATTTACAAGCCCTTTTTCTTGGCCAGGCTCAAAGAGGAGGGAGGAAGGAAGGGAAGGAGGGAGGGAGGGAGGGAGGAATGAAGCCGGATGGGATACCTGCAGAGCCCTTCCAGATCTGGAATCCCACCCACCCCCCCCAAAAACCCACAGAAGGGGGAAAGAGGCCTCACCTGGTCGCTTTAAGAGGGAAGAGGCGGAAGGAGAGAGTGCAGCTGATGGGGGCGGGGCCTCTCCTCCCCGGACACGCCCCCTTTCTCCTCCCAGGCCACGCCCCCTCCCTGGCATTTCCTGTCCTTCTTGGTTGGCCTCACTTGCCCACTTTGGTCCTTGTAGCCATTTTGGGGAGGAGTTAAGGATGTCAGGATCAAAACAAACCTGATTTCCTTATGAATTGGAATTGGTAAACCAGGAAGCATAGTGCCCAAGGCCAGGCATGGGCCAACTTGGGCCCTCCAGGTATTTTGGACTTCAACTCCCAAATTCCTAACAGCCCTAGGCTGCTAGGAATTGTGGGAGTTGAATCCAAAACACCTGGAGGGCCAAAGTTTGCCTATGCCTGGACTAGTCCCTGAATGTCATGCTTCCCCTTGGTTAGACCACACCTGGATTATTGTGTCCAGTTCAATTGAAAAAGAGATAATGTGTCCAGAGGAAGGCGACTAAAATGATCAAGGGTCTGGAGAACAAGCCCTATGAGGAGCGGCTTAAAGAGCTGAGCATATTTAGCCTGTAGAAAAGAAGGCTGAGAAGAGATGTCAGGGCGATAGATATGATCGCACCCGAACGCCCCATCTCGTTGCGTCGTGACAGGCCATCTCCCTGGTTCACCGGGGAGCTGACTGTGATGAAGCATGCGAGAAGGGGGCTAGAGCGCAAATGGAGGAAATCTCGGGACGTGTCTGATCGAGCACGGGCTAAAGCCTCTCTTAAGGCATACTCCGTGGCTATACGGGTGGCCAGGAAATCATTCACGACCACCCGTATAGCGTCTGCAGCAAATAGATCATCGGAGCTGTTTCGGGTCGTGGGAGAACTCCTCCACCCACCTGTGGTGGAGGAGGTCACTGATGACCCAGCAGCTCGGTGTCGCGATTTCGCACACCATTTTGCAGGTAAAGTCGCCCAGATACGCCTTGAGCTCGACTCCAATTTCATCGCAGTGCCAGAAGAGGTGACGGAGGCATCTGCTTGTCCAACCTTGTGGGATTCTTTTAGGCTTGTTCTTCCTGAAACCGTGGAGGAGATTCTTGGGGCTGTGAGGGCGACCACCTCATCTCTAGACCCGTGCCCATCTTGGCTCATTAAATCAGCCAGGGAGGGGCTGGTTGATTGGTTTGTATTGATTATCAATGCATCGTTGGAGCAAGGGATTTTTCCATCTGGTTTGAAACAGGCTGTGGTTCGTCCACTCCTCAAAAAGGCTTCCCTTGACTCCACGGTGCTGAGCAATTACAGGCCAATCTCCAACCTCCCTTTCTTGGGTAAGGTGCTGGAGCGGGTGGTCGCCTCCCAGCTTCAGAGCTTCTTAGACGATACCAACTACCTAGATCAGTCACAGTCTGGTTTCAGGCCTGGTCATGGCACCGAGACAGCCTTGGTCGCCTTGGTGGATGACCTCCGCAGAGAGCTGGACAGGGGGAGTGTGACTCTGTTGGTTCTCTTGGACATCTCAGCGGCTTTCGATACCATCGATCATGGTATCCTTCTGGGTCGTCTCTCTGGGATGGGCCTCGGGGGCGCGGTTTTGTCGTGGCTCCGGTCCTTCCTCGAGGGACGAACCCAGATGGTGAAGCTGGGTGACGCCTGCTCAGACCCCTGGCCTTTGACCTGTGGGGTCCCGCAAGGCTCTATTTTGTCGCCCATGCTTTTCAACATCTACATGAAACCGCTGGGAGAGGTCATCCGGAGTTTTGGAGTTGGGTGCCATCTTTATGCGGATGACACACAACTCTACTACTCTTTCCACCTAATTCCAAGGAGGCCTCTCGGGTGCTGGACGAGTGCCTGGCCGCTGTGTCGATCTGGATGAGGAGGAACAAGCTGAAGATCAATCCCGACAAGACAGAGGTCCTTCTGGTCGATCGTAAACCGGATCGGGGTATAGGGTGGCAACCTGTGTTGGACGGGGTTACACTCCCCCTGAAGCCACAGGTCCGCAGTTTGGGTGTCCTCTTGGATTCTTCGCTCACACTTGAGGCTCAGGTGTCGGCGGTATCCGGGAGGGCCTTTGCACAATTGAGACTTGTGCGTCAACTGCGACCGTACCTCGTGAAGGCTGATCTGGCCGGGGTGGTCCACGCCTTGGTCACCTCTAGAATGGATTACTGCAATGCGCTCTACGTGGGGCTGCCCTTGAAGACGGCTCGGAAATTCCAATTGGTCCAACGGGCAGCAGCCAGGATGTTAACGGGGGCCCATTACAGAGAGAGGTCAACCCTTCTGTTTAAGGAGCTCCACTGGCTGCCATTTATTTTCCGAGCCCAATTCAAGGTGCAGGTGCTCACCTACAAAGCCCTGAACGGTTTGGGACCACCCTACCTGCGTGACCGCATCTCCATTTACGAACCCACACGCTCTCTCCGGTCATCTGGGGAGGCCCTGCTCGTGATCCCACCCACGTCGCATGCGCGCTTGGTGGGGACACGGGACAGGGCCTTTTCTGTGGCGGCCCCCCGACTTTGGAACGCCCTTCCAAAAGAGCTTCGACAGGCCCCTACTTTAGCAGCTTTCAGAAAGAACCTAAAAACTTGGCTGTTCCGATGTGCCTTCTCAGATTAGGAATTCCCCATCCCAAGTCCTAGAAGCACTTTAGTACAATTAATATTGCTGCACACCGCACTGTTTTAATCCTACGTGCCTCCTGCCATTTCAGCACTTTTAACCCTGTACCCCATTGCTCTGGCCGGCCCAGTTTTAAAGTGTCCTGATGTATTGTCACTGTTGTTGTTATTCTGCTTAACTATTTTGATTTGCTTTGTTTATTGTTGTGTTATGTTTTTACTGTATTGTGTTCTGAGGCTTCGGCCTATGTAAGCCGCATCGAGTCCCTCGGGAGATGCTAGCGGGGTACAAATAAAGTTAATAATAATAATAATAATAATAATAATAATAAATATGTGAGAGGAAGTCATAGGGAGGAGGGAGAAAGCTTGTTTTCTGCTGCCCTGGAGACTAGGACGCAATGGAAGAATTTCAACAGAAAGGAGGAGACCATGAAAATGAACAAAATCTGGCTACCAGTATTAAAAAAAAAACCTCTAAAATTACAACAGCAAAACAGCAGAGAGGAAACAACCAGGCACATCTTAACACCTCTCAAAAAAGATTCCCCCAGGCTCAGCCAGGCCTTCAAATGCTAATGAAGGTGGTCAGTTGAAACATTCACACCTAGCTCCAGCAGAAGAGCTCTTTGCCCCACCTCAGTCATTCCACAGATATATAAACCCATTGTCCTAATTCCAACAGACCTCACTCAGCCATAGTAGAGCACCTGATGAACCAACCTGGACACAGCAATTTATTTGAGAACACAGAAATGCTGGACCACACCAACAACCACCATGTCAGACTACACAGAGAAGCCATTGAAATCCACAAGCATGTGGACAATTTCAACAGAAAGAAGAGACCATGAAAATGAACAAAATCTGGCTACCAGTATTAAAAAACTCTAAAATTACAACAGCAAAACAGCAGAGAGGAAACAACCAGCTACATCTTAACACCTCTCAACAAAAGATTTTCCCAGGCTCAGCCAGGCCTTCAAATGCTAATGAAGGTGGTCAGTTGAAACATTCACACCTAGCTCCAGCAGAGAAGAGCTCTTTGCCCCACCCCAGTCATTCCACAGATATATAAACCCATTTTCCTATTTCCAACAGACCTCACTACCTCTGAGGATGCTTGCCATAGATGCAGGCTAAACGTCAGGAGAAAATGCCTCTAGAACATGGCCATATAGCCCGAAAAAACCCACAAAAACGCAATGGAAGAATGGCTTCAAACTACAAGAAAGGAGATTCCACCTGAACATGAGGAAGAACTTCCTGACTGTGAGAGCTGTTCAGCAATGGAACTCTCTGCCCTGGAGTGTGGTGGAGGCTCCTTCTTTGGAGGCTTTTAAACAGAGGCTGGATGGCCATCTGTCGGGGGTGCTTTGAATGCAATTTTCCTGCTTCTTGGCAGAATGGGGTTGAGATTGGATGGCCCATGAGGTCTCTTCCAACTCTAGGATGCTATGAAGACGCAGGTTCGCAGCTTGGGAGTGATTCTGGATTCATTGCTGAGCCTGGAACTCCAGGTTTCGGCAGTGGCCAGGGGAGCTTTTGCACAATTAAAATTGTCCACCAGCTGTGCCCGTACCTTGGGAAGTCTGATCTGGCCACGTTGGTCCATGCTCTGGTTGCATCCCGAATAGACTACTGCAGCGCACTCTACGTGGGGCTGCCTTTGAAGACTGTTCGGATACTCCAACTAGTTCAACGGGCGGCAGCCAGATTGTTAACTGGAGCAACATACAGGGAGCATACCACCCCCTGTTATGTCAACTCCACTGGCTGCCGGTCCACTTCCGAGCACAATTCAAAGTCTTGGCCTACAAAGCCCTATACGGCTCCAACCCAGCTTACTTGTCTGAACGTATCTCCCTCTACGTTCTGCCTCAAAGTTTAATATCCACAGGGGAAGCCCTGCTTTCAGTCCCACCAGCTTCACAAACGTGTCTAGTAGGGACGAGGGACAGGGCCTTATCAGTGGTGACCCCCCGCTTGTGGAATTCGCTCCCCAGCGAGATTAGATCAGCGTCCTCCCTCCTTTCCTTTAGGAATAAACTGAAATCGTGGTTTTGGAACCAGGCCTTTGGCTAGCAGGTATAACAGCCCTTTGGACACTGAACCCGGACCATAGGACTGTTATGACAAGCGGGGGGCCACTACTGAGAAGGCCCTGTCCCTCGTCCCCACCAGATACGTTTGCGATGCTGGTGGGACCGAGAGCAGGGCCTCCCCAGTAGAACTTAAATTATGAGGTGGAATGTAGAGATATAAGTTCGGATGAGTAAGCTGGGCCGGAGCCGTATATGATTGTATAACTGATGTTGTTGTTTTTAATCTATTATGTATTTATGGTTTTATATTGTTGTTATATTGTGATTTGCTTCATCAAATTGCTGCCAGTGTTAGCTGCTCTGAGTCCCCCCTTTTGGGTTGAGAAATGTTGTAAATAAATAAATAAATTCTGGGCA